TACCCGAGTCGAAAAATTGGGACTCATTTTATCCTCAAATGAACTATTTAGACTCATTTTTTCCTCATTTAGACGTTTTTAATCTCAGATACCTCAATAAGTTTTCATAAGACTCATCACATTGGATTCTAAAAAGTCTCATTTTATTCTCAATGTCTGCAATCCTATGGCAATAGTCCTCAATTTAACCTCAACAAGAAAAGAATGAGACTTTTTGAAGACAAAATGAGGTTTCCTAAATAATCTTTACTCCTCAAAAGTCTCATTTTGTCCTGATACGGGAAAACCGCGGATAAAATGAGACTTTTGAGTCTTGTAGTTTGAAATATCCCTAAAAATTCTATTGAGATCAAATGAGGACAAAATGAGTCCCAATTTTTTGACTCGGGTAGTTTTTTGTCTGTATGTCAAGAATCTCTGATAGGGTTAATACTGTCGTAAAGAACAATTTGGGGAAGATTATGGAAGGTTAACGTCGACATCTCTAGATTATAAAGGTCTACCAGCATTGAAGCTTTTGTATTTCAAAAATACCCTTTGTGCAGACAATATAAACAACGGACAAGAAATCAAATACATAATGTGATTTTTGTCATAACATTCGGGAAGTAATTTACCAAAGTCCATACACATAATTTGTAAGTTGTTTATGCAATGTGTTTATACACATAATTGCACACCAATTTTGTGTTTTAAAAGTGGTCGTAGCTTTTAATTGACGTCATTAATTAATTATTTTCGAAAGTACCTTTCGTATACAATATCTATTAGTTAACGATGTCAATACAATGGAACAACCACATTGAGAACATCTCCTTTTTTTGTTGTAGAAACGTTCGAATATATAAAATAAGCTTACAATTAGTGTCCGACTTTTTATGAAATAGTTTGGTGTAATGGTTAGGTATTCGAATTTTATTTTCATAATTAGGTACTAATATTTTGGTAATTTCTACCTATATGAAGTAAATAAAATAAACCATTAATCACTGCCTAATAAAATAAAAATCACAAGATAGATGTGATATAATCCAAAGAATTAAATACTAATTAAGGTGAAATATTAAGGAGCATAATTTGTAATCATTTTACGATCCGATTCCAGGTGATATTCGTTTATATTTTTGGTCGTTGCAGTGAAATTAAAAGTCCAAGTACTTACTAAAGATGTGTTACAAGGCTGATTACGTTCAGTTTTTCATTAACGTTATTGAGTACTTTAAACACATTATGATATGACTAAACCACAACATTATTGTACGATTTAATCGACTTTTACATTACCTGCAGTGCAAAATTCATAGAAAGGGTGTTTCTGAGAAGTTTTTTAGGGAGACATTTTTCGATTTTGTTGGCTGGTTTTCCCATTAGGGGGCATCAAACCTGACTAATATTGATTTGGAAAATCTTAGACTTATTTTAATGATTTAGAAGCCGATTCCTGTAGATTGTAAAATGTTTTATAAGAGCATGGAAGACTTTTCTTGAATGAAATAGTCTTTTTGAGAAATATGATATTTAAAGAAGCAATCATTAAAAACTTCTTTCATGCTTGTCATTCAATTTCCATTAAAAAATGCGATTTAATTGCCACTGATAATAATTAATGGTAATAAATGGAGAATTGCCAATGGGATTCCCATTTCCGAACTCAATGGGATTTCCATTGGTGAACGCAATGGAAATTCCATTGCGTTGATTAATGGAATCATTCAAAATGGAAACAATTGATTTTCTATTTATCTATCTATTTATTTATGAATGGTTTTATACAGAATTTATAAATTTTGCATTTGTTTCCATTAAAAATCAATGGAAATTTTTCCCATGTAAATACTAATGGAATTATTGTAAATGGAAACAATTATTTTTCCATTTATGCCAAATGGTTTTGAATGGAATTTACNTATTACTTTCATTTATTAATATTCTTACTTATTTATAAATAAATAAATACGTGGTAATAAGCAACGTGTTCAATTGCGAACTTTATAGGCAATTACTTGATAGCAGGTGGTTTACAAATGCTTACAAGCATTTAGAGTCATTATTGTCCGTGATAATAATGAAAGCAATTAAGTTTATTAATTAGGCGTACCTACACATTCATATAATTACGACAAAAAAATCTTATTTTCTGTCTTTTCAATCAGAGTCAAGCTGTTGGGAAATATTTATTGTTTCATAACATGTACGTATGCAGACAACTGAATAACGGATTTATAAAAAAAAAGGCTTACTGTAACGCACCAACATAATATCAATTCAGTTATTGCGTAAGTGGTATGTACTTTACTCAATATCGTTAAAATTTTGTCGGTTACTTTCTGTTATGTTGGTGGAAATCTGTTATCAAGGTCACGAAACAAGTCCGCATAAAGTGTAAGTATACTCGAATTGAAAGGAAATTTGAGAGCTTTTAATGGTTCAAAAAGAACCAAACCTGTATTTTTTGTGTCGATTAACAGCTGCGCGTATAAACGTAATAATAAGAAAGTGCACTTACCAAAATGAGGTCTTGAATGAGGTTGGCAATACCCCTGTTGGCAACGACTAAAAGTCGCGTAATAGGTCCGGGGATTCCTTCGGTGTGCTCCGCTCGTGGTGACACGTCAATTTCGGCAACACCACCTGCTCCTGCATCTGAATGGTCTTGAGCACCCGAACCGGTAATTAACTGCAAATTGATTTCATTTAAGTAGTAATAAAAAAAAACCTTCTATTTGTTTGTACTTGCGACTGTTTAAATACAATCTTAGTTTCTAGGAGCTATATATATGTACATGCATTACTGGCAGAAGTTAAATTAATTGAGCACATTATCATTTATTTATATAGATACGTGTGTTTATACGTAATGCAATTATCTTACGTAATTTTAAATGAAGACGAACGCGCATATGCATCCCATTTCGATAAATGTATGACAAATTGGTTGCATAATAAAAAATTTTATCGGTATAGATATATTATATGTATAAATATACATTACACTTACTATAAAGAAAGAAGCATCGCAGAGTTCGTAAAGAAAAAGATCACTACAAAGAGGCAAAAATGAACTAGACTACATAGGACAAGTATTATTAATAAATTTTCGTTAATTTTAAGTAGGTATGTAACTAACATATAGAATTATCATTAAATACTTTCAGAGGCATTACTACCGTCGATTTTTGAATATTTTTATAATAAAACATTTTTTTTGTCGATACCGTCCCGAAAGTTATACAATCTAAGTCTCATATTAAGACTTCCTGTCTAAAACTAATACTAAAAATACCCTATTGTAAGATAATAACCATGACCACCACCGTTTTAGTTTTCTTCATAACTAAACAACAGGATGAATATATCAAATATTAGTGTAAAAATTCATTTTCAAGTTATAAGAACTATAAATTACCTCAAGTTAATGAAGAAAAATTTATAGTTGGTATAACTGGAAAATGAATTTTCACATTAATATTTGATATATTAATCATTATTGAATTTCAAAGTGTTTCATACAGTATTAATACAATTACATTAGTTCGACAGATCTGTATCCAAATAAGTACGGTTTGTTGTTGTCAACTCTCGCAGCTTAGTGGACAGAGCACTGTTGCGTAAAGCCAAAGATCCCGGGTTCGATTCCTAGCCAGGATGGGACAACAGCAAGAAATTTTCCCTCATTAACATGAGGTAGTTTATAGTGGTTAAAAATTAAAGATGAATTTTCACAATAATATTTGATATATTAACCACTATTGAATGTCAAAGTGTTTCATATAGGAGTCAAATCTAGGCTTACGAACGGTTAACTTAGAAATTCGAAGAAGATTGTTAAAAGTGAATATCTGGTGCACGGCGCTGTATTGTTGCGAAACGTGTGCACGGTGGAAGAGGCGGAAAAAAATGTTAGAAGCGTGCGAAATGTGGTGTTACAGACGAATGACGAGGATAATCGTGGATAGAAATGGTTAGAAATAAAGGAGGTATCATAGTGAATAGGAGAACAGAGGGCGCTACTGTCAATAAAAAATATAATCGCAACTTAGATTTGATGGACTCGAAAAACTACTAAACTCGTCGCGTATCTATTAAACTTTTTAATTTTATGAAAGTCATTAAACATTTGGAATATAACCGCCCCTGACTAAACAAATGATTAGTAGACGTGGCTCATTTTTACCTTAAATTTTAAGGTTTTATTGTAATGTACTAAAAAAAAGTACTTAATATATAGTATTGTATACTTAATTTGATATATGGTATACCTTTATTAGGAAATATAGAAGATAGTGTGGAGATAGATGAGTTAGGTTATTGAATAATGCGAGAAGAGTTCGATGTAGCATTAAAAAACTTAAAGAATAATAAGCCGTCAGGTGTAGATGGGATACAGGGTGGAAATTCTACAACATGCAGGACAAGAGGTTAGAGATCCTATCTTTAAGCTAGTTAGTCTCATTTACGAGACGGGGAAATTTCCAGAGTATTATAAAAGGAAGCTGGTACTAACCATACCCAAAAACAGAGGCGTGGATAGGTGAGAGACATTTAGAACAATTAACTTAATTTCCTATCCGTCAAAAATTTTAAGTAGAATTGTACAGAGGAGGATGGAAAAAAGGGCGGAAGAACTATGAGGAGAAGATCAATTTGGGTTTAGAAGAAATAGAGGAACGCGGGAGGCCATTCTAGCTTTACGGGTAACAATAGAGAAAACGATAGAAAAAAGAAAAAGTGCGTACATAGGATTTGTAGATTTAGAAAAAGCTTTTGACAATGTTAAATGGGACAAGATGTTAAATATACTTAAAAATGTAGGGATGA